GGGGGAGGGGAGATTTTGAAGCTTGTGAAATCCACATTGATACCATTGGGCTGCAGGGTTCCCAAGTGGAATATGAGTTGCTGTTCCTGCAACCTTCGGGTGGCATCATTGCGGCACTGCAGGAGGCCCAGGATGGACATGTCGTCTGAGGAATGGGAATGGGAGGGGGAGTTGAAATGGTTCGCGACTGGGACGTGCAGTTGTTTATTGTGAACTGAACGTAGGTGTTCTGCAAAGCGGTCCCCAAGCCTCCGCTTGGTTTCCCCGATGTAGAGGTAGCCACACCGGGTACAGCGGATGCAGTATACCACATTGGCAGATGTGCAGGTGAACATCTACTTGATGTGGAAAGTCTTCTTGGGGCCCGGGATGGGGGTGAGGGAGGAGGTATGGGGGCAGGTGTAGCACTTCCTGCGGTTGCAGGGAAAAGTGCCGGGTGTGGTGGGGCTGGAGGGGAGTGTGGAGCGGACAAGGGAGTCACGGAGAGAGTGGTCCCTCCGGAAAGCAGATAAGGGTGGGGAGGGAAAGATGTCTTTGGTGGTGGGGTCGGATTGCAGATGGCGGAAGTGTTGGAGGATGATGCGTTGGATCCGGAAGTTGGTGGGGTGGTACGTGAGGACGAGGGGGATTCTTTTTTGGTTGTTATTGTGGGGACGGGGTGTGAGGGATGAGTTGCTGTCCCACTGGCCTTCTGACTGACCCCACCCTTGATGCTTACCTTGACCCCATAGACCCACACACCCACCCTGACCATCCCTACTCTCTCAGGATTGTGGGATGCCAACATCACACTGATTGCGTCAGTATGTGGCGAATTACAACACCATTCGGTGACTGTAGCCTCATTCTGTGAGGAAAGGGGGACTGAATGAAAATTTATCAGAGGTGTTTGCTTTTCAGTGAGATATTAAAACCAAGCTCTAGCTTCTAACCTAACAGATCCCTGACAGAGTAATGAAGGAAAGTTGGAATTTTGTCTCAATGAGTCTGATCAATATTTGACCCCTAACCAATACCAATGAAATGCGAAATAAAACCCTAAAATGTTGGAACTCCCCAGCAGGTCAGGCAGCATCTGTGGCTACAGAAAAATACATCTACAAAATAAGATTGCTTAATTTTCTCGCTGCTGTTTGTGTGGAAATAGGATCCACATTTACCTACAAACTAGTAGTGATAAGCTTCAAAAATAATTGGCAGCAAAGTGCTGAGAAACATACAAATCAGTGCAAGTTTGACCTGTTTCTGGTGTTCCAAGAGCTACAAGATGGCAATTCCACTGGGCAGGAATTTGCACACTATATTTTTGTGGGAAGTTGAGGTACATTTCAACATGACCTTGAAGGCAGCAGAATTGACCTCATCAAACATTGAAAAGATAATAGTCAACTATTTCTTTCTGAAGTAATGTCATTTCATTAAAAAAGGTGTACTGTTTTAGTAATGTCAAGTGGACTTTGAGATTGTTTGCAACCCAACTTCTGAGTTAATATTGCTTGACTTTGATTATTAAATTGAGAGAGTGGCACTACCTTTGCAACTAAAACAACATCCATTCACCACATGCGTCCCTTAAACATAGGGGCAGCTGGTAAATGATTGGATGGTGAAACTCCTATTAATAATGTGTGTAGTTGTGAGGTATGACCATGATTGTGGTGAGGCTATACAAGTAAGTAATTCACTTTTTAGTGCAGTATGATTAAACACTGTTTAACTTTAATAGAAGTAACTTGCGCTGTGTTAACATAAGAACTAGGAGCAGGGGTGGTTCATTCATTCAGCTCCACGAGCCTGCTTCACCATTTAATACGATCATGGCTGATGTAATCTTGGCTTCAACTGCCTGCTCTCCACGACCCTTCAACCTGTTATTAATTTAAGATCCGTCTGTCTCCTCCTTAAATTTGCTTAATGTCCTAGCATCCACCGTACTCTGGGACAGTGAATTCCACAAATCAACGACCCTTTTGAGAGAAGTAATTTCTTCTAATCTGCTCTAAAACTGCTATCCCTTATTCTAAGACAATTGCTTTTCATTCTAGGTTGCCCTACAGGGGGAAACATCCTCTCTATGACTACTTTGTCAATCCCATTTCGCATCTTATATACCTAAATTAGATCTCCTCTCATTCCTCTGACCTCCACAGAGGAATTGCTTAAATTGCTCAATCTTTCTTCTTCTTTTGATTTAATCCTGTGGACCTCCTCTGAACTGCTTCCAATGCAACTACATACCTCCTCAGGTAAGGGAACCAAAATTGTATGCAGTACTGCAGGGGCAGTCTCACTAATGCCTCATATAGTTGCAGTAACACTGTTGATTTTAAATGAGACAGGTAAATTTTTGTTAAGCAAATTTATTAAGGGATGTAGAGAAAAGCCACACAGATCAGCCATGATTTCAATGAATGGTAGAACAGGCTGGAGGGCTGAAAGGTTGCAGGAGTAAGCCAATCTTGTCTATGTTTATACTCTTCCTTGAGCAATAAATGGCAAAATTCCATTGCCTTCCCTATTACCTGCTGTACCTGCAAACTAGCTTTTTGTAATTCATGCACAACGGCATCCAGATCCATCTGCATTGAACTACTCTGAGGTTTCTCTTGATTTAGATAATAATTTGCCTTTCTGTTCCTCTGACGAAATAGTTTGTTGTTTGTTGATGTTAAACTTCATTTGCCAAAATTTGGCCCATTCATCTAACCTGTCCATATCCATTTGTAAAGTTCTTATTTCTTCATTGTAACTTACGTTTCCACCTATTTTAGTGTTGTTTGCAAGTCTGGCTATAGTGCTTCCTGTCCCTGCCCCAAGTCATTAATATCGATTGTCAGGCCCCAACTATTTACAGTCTGGCACCCTAGTAAATCCGTGTTGTGAACCTAAAAGATCAATTTATCCTGAGTATGTGTATAACATAGTGACCATGTCACTCAGCCACTAATTCAGAACCCCAGACTGGAGACGTGTTCATTTGTTCATTAAAACAAAATTGGAAAATAAATGTAACCGTTATTCAAAGACACATCTGGCTCATGAATCACCTTTAGGGAAGGAAACTTTACCTTGTCTGGCCTACATGTGACTTCAGACGCTTCCTGTGGTAATGTAGTTGACTTTTAACTGTGCTTTGAACAATTGGAATGTGCAAACAATGTTGATCTGGCTGGTGACTTCCAAAATCCATGGACATATAAAACCAAAAGCTTTTATGGTAAACAGCCTGTGTGGGTTTCCTCTGGGTGCTCTGGTTTCCTCCCACACTCCAAAGATGTGCAGGCTAGATGGATGGGCCATGCTAAATTGCCCGTAGTGTTCAGGGACGAGTAGATTAGGTGGGTTATGGGGAATGGATCTGGGTGGGTTGCTGTGAGGGTCGGTGTGGACTTGTTGAGCCAACGGGCCTGTTTCCACACTGTAGGGATGCTGAAACCTATGAATATGTGAATATTTCTTTTAAATGTCTTCATGATTTCAGAACAGCATGTTTGAGCATTCCTTTCTTAGGATCTGGATTCCAATCTATACCAATGGGATGAAGGACCACTCAAGGTATTAGTTGTGAGGGTTTTGAGAGAGATCAATTTAAAAGTCTTGGCCAGGCATAAAGCCCAGATAATGGGACAACTTGCTAAACCTGGCTCATGTTACGATGTTTTTAATTCAAGGTGAGACAGGTTCGGGGAAGACGACACAGATTCCACAGTATCTGTATGAAGCCACCATTGGGCGACAGGGTATCATTGGCGTCACACAGCCCCGACGTGTGGCAGCAATATCACTTGCAGCTCGGGTCTCAGAAGAAAAGAAAACAGAGTTAGGCACGTTGGTAAGCTTTTATTTTAATGCTTTTCGTAGTGTCAGCGACAAGACCAGCATTTGTTGCTTATCCCTGGTTGCTCTTGATATGTAACTTCTAAGAACAAAAGAAATAGGAAGAAGAATAGGTCTTTCAGCCCATTGAGCTTGCTCCACCATTCTAGGTCATTATTGATCATCTCGTCAATTAATGTAGCTGGCATTTGACTGCCTTTACCTGAACTTCATGCTTTCCAAAAGTTGGAGCACCTTCTTGAGCCTGTAACCACAGGTCTACCTATTTGGAACTGAAATAAGTGGCTCATCCAAATAATGCACTATTCCCTGAATTCCTTGCAATCTGTGTGAGTATTAATAGTCAAATATGACATTGACTTGTCAACTAATTAAAGGGTGCGGATATGCATCTTGTCTAAGTTTGGGGGGGGAACAAAAATCTGGATTTCTGACAATGTGGTGAACGCATTCTTGACATTTGTCAAATTTTCTAGTGGCTTACATTTTGGACCCTGACTGTCAGTTAATTTCTAAGGTTTTGGCTTAGATCTGTAGCTCGGATTGTGGATGTTGAGGTTGGTTGGCTCGCCGAGCTGTTTTGTTGTTCTGCAGACATTTCGTTACTGTGCTGGGTAACGTCCTCAGTACAGCCTCTGATGAAGCATCAGTGTGTTTTCCCGCCTGGTTTTTAAACTCTGGGATCCGTTGCGATGGATTGCCTCACTTCCGGGTTTCCTCCGTAGTGGAATGTATATGGGGTCGAGTTCAATGTGTTTATTAATAGCCTACTTCGTGGAGGGCTATGCTTCCAGGAATTCTCGTGCTTGTCTGTGCCTAGTCTGTCCCAGGATCTTGGTGTTGTCCCAGTCGAAGTCGTGGTTCTCCTTGTCCATGTGGATTGAGACGAGTGAGTATTGGTCGTGTCTTTTTGTAGCCAGTTGGTGTTCGTGTACTCTTGTTGTTAGTTTCCTTCCTGTTTGTCCGATGTAGTGTTTCTCGCAGTCTCTGCAGGGGATCTTGTAGATGACATTGGTCCTGTCCATGGCGGGGAGTGGGTCTTTAATTTGGGTGAGCAGTTGTCGTAGGGTTGATGTGGGTTTGTGTGTCACTCTGATGCCCAGCAGTCGTAGAAGTCTTGTGGTGAGTTCTGGCGTGTTCCTGATGTAGGGTAGTGTGATGAGTGTGTCGGGGCGTGTAGAATCTTTCTGAAGCTGTTCCTGTAGGCATCTCCTGACCCAGTTCTTTGGATATCCATTATCCTTGAACACTTGGAAGAGGTATTCCTCCTCCTCTTGGCGTAGTTCCATGTTGCTGCAGTGTGTTGTTGCTCTTTTAAATAGTGTTCGCACGCAGCTTTGTTTGTGTGTGCTGGGATGGTTACTATTGAAGTTCAATACCTGGTCTGTGTGTGTGGCTTTACGGTGTACTTTCGTTTGTAGTTCCCCATTTGTCTTGCGCTCTATCATGACGTCCAGGAATGGGAGTTGTTTGTTCTTCTCCTCCTCTCTGGTGAATTTTATTCTGGTGAGGGTGTTGTTTATGAGTTTGTGTGTCTCTCCTAATTTGGTCCGTTTAATGATGACAAAGGTGTCGTCTACATAGCGTATCCATAGTTTAGGTTGGATTTGCGGAAGGGCAGTCCTTTCCAGTCTTTGCATCACTGCTTCTGCTATGAGTCCGGAGATAGGCGATCCCATGGGTGTCCCGTTGATTTGCTCGTAGGTTTGGCCGTTGAAGGTGAAGTGGTTGGTCAGGCATAGGTCCAGTAGTTTAAGCATGTTGGCCTTGGAGATGGTTTCACTGGGGTCGTGTTCTTGTTCAAGTAGTTTGTCATTGTTTCCCTTGCTAGTGGTATGTCTGACGTGAGTAGGGCGATGACATCAAACGGCATCATGGTCGCTTCGTCCTCTATCGTTATATCTTTGATGGAGTTGAGGAATTTTTGGGCTGAGTGGATGGAGTGGGATGATTTGTTGACTAGGTGCTTGAGTCTTCTTTGTAGTTCTCTGGCTAATTTGTGCGATGGAGTGCCTGGTAGCGAGACTATGGGTCTGAGAGGGACTTCCGGCTTGTGCACTTTAGGGAGGCCGTAGAATCTGGGTGTGTTGTTTCCTTCGGGTTTCAACACCCCCTGATTCTACGGCCTCCCTAAAGTGCACAAGCGCTTTACAAAGTGCACACTTGTGTGCACAAGCACACACGAACGAAGCTGCATACGAACGCTATTTAAGAGGGCAACAACACACTGCAGCAACATGGAACTACGCCAAGAGGAGGAGGAATACCTCTTCCAAGTGTTCAAGGATAATGGCTATCCAAAGAACTGGGTCAGGAGATGCCTACAAGAACAGCATCAGAAAGATTCTACACAACCCGACACACTCATCACACTATCCTACATCAGGAACACGTCAGAACTCCCCACAAGACTTCTATGACCGCTGGGCATCAGAGTGGCACACAAGCCCACATCAACCCTACGACAACTGCTCACCGGAACTAAAGACCCACTCCCCGCCATGGACAGGACCAATGTCATCTACAAGATCCCCTGCAGAGACTGCGAGAAACACTACATTGGACAAACAGGAAGGAAACTAACAACAACAGTACACGAACACCAACTGGCTACAAAAAGACACGACCAATACACACTCGTCTCAATCCACATGGACAAGGAGAACCACGACTTCGACTGGGACAACACCAAGATCCTGGGACAGACTAGGCAGAGACAAGCACGAGAATTCCTGGAAGCATAGCACTCCACGAAGCAGGCTATTAATAAACACATTGAACTCGACCCCATGTACATTCCACTACGGAGGAAACCCGGAAGTGAGGCAATCCATCGCAACGGACCCCAGAGTTTAAAAACCAGGCGGGAAATCACACCGACGCTTCATCAGAGACTGCACTGAGGACGTTACCCAGCATGGTAACGAAACATCTGCAGAACAACAAAACAGCTCGGCGAGCCAACCAACCTCAATGTCAGTTAATTTATAATCTCTACATGATCTTACACTATCAATACGTGCTGGAGTTGGTGCAGGAATGAGGGCCTAAGACTGTGGGACCACTGGGTCTGTTTTTGGGGAAGATGGGTACATATTCAAGTCTTGAGAGTTTGCACCTGACCCACATCAAGGCCAAGATCCTAGTGTTGTTGGTTTGGGTTCAGTTTTGCAGAGTAAATGGTATATAGTTTGAGGTACAATAGTGTGCAATGCATAGACAATTTGGAAAAAAATCGAAGCACTCTGGTTGTCAACATGTGTGTAGTCAAGACACAAGGGATTGATAGCATTTATTTTAATGCCAGGAACCTTGTGATTGAGGGACCTGATTAACACATGGAAATATGATATTGCTGTCACAGGGACATGGTTGAGAGATGGGCAGGACTGGTAGCTCAGTATTCCAGGGTATAGAATATAGACGTGGAGAGGGGTAAAAAAGAGGAGGTGACCTTACAATATTTATTAAAGGTCAGACTGGTGCTAAATCAGTGTCTTCTGACTTCATAATCTGTGCACTATGCAATCGGGAAAGCATTAGAGTCATTGAGATACACAGCATGCAAAAAGGCCCTTTTAGCCCATTGAATCTGTGCCGGTCTAAAATAACGAACCTAACTATTATAATCACATATTCCAGCATTTGACCCATAGCCTTGGTATCCCAAGAGCAATCCAAATACTTTTCAAATAGTATGAAGGTTTCTGCCTCTACCACTCTTGCAAGCAGAGAATTCCAGATTCCCACCACCCTCTGGGTGAAAATGTTTTTTCTGCCTTACCTTTAAATCTATGCTCCCTGGTCATTGATTCCTCAGTCAAGAGGAAAACTTTCTTCTTGTCTACAACATGCAAACATGTTTAACTTAGGTTTAACTCACGAACAAAAACAAAGTTGCTGGAAAAGCTCTGCAGGTCTGGCAGCATCTGTGAAGGAGAAAACAGAGTTAACGTTTCGGGTCCAGTGACCCTTCCTCAGGAGTTCTGAACACCTAGGTCTCTCTGTTTGACTAGACTACCCAGAGCCTGGACCCTACCATTAACTGTCTTTCTTCAGTCTCTCTTCCGCTTTTAAGGAAAACAACCTAGTCTGTCCAATTTCTGTTTGTAACTAAAATTCTCCAGCCAGTGCAACATCCTGATAAATCTCATTTACACACTATCCAGTACGATCATATTCCTCCTAGAATGTGGATTTCAGAACTCTATCTATGGCCTAACCAACGTTTTATATAGTTCTAGCATAACCTCCCTGCTCCTAAACTCTCTGCCTTGGCTAATAAAGACTAGTAATACCTTAACCACTTTATCTACCTGTCCTGTTACCTTAAGGGACTGGTGTACATGCAGACCAAGGTCACTGACTCTCGGTGCTTTCCAGGATCCTACTGTTCATGCATTCCTGTCCAAGTGCATCACCTCACGTTTAGAGAGATATAGAATCACATAGTGCAGAAAAGGTCCTTTGGCCTATTGAATCTGCATGGACATAACTACCAGTAAAGGTGCACTAATGCCAATTTTCTGCACTTGTCCTGTATCCTTGAATGTTATGATATTTCATACTATGTTTATTAACATAGTGACAATGCCATGAATTACACAAACGTACTGCATAGAAACAAACCAATCAGCCAAACAGATCATTGCCAGTGTTTATACTTCACACAGGTCTCCTTCCAGTAAGATAAAAATAAAAGGGAAGGTATTTAAAATGTTGGCAGTCCCCAAAGCTGAAACAACATCCCCTGGTTTGGAGTGGGTGCATCTGGTTGCTGAGGGAAGAAAATTATCAAGACTCTGGCCACACACACTCTCAGCCCTCCTTTAGATTTTAGTTGGTACCAGAAAATGAGAATCGCAAACATCAAACACCAAAAGGGGACTGTGAAACACCCAGCGTCTCCAATTTGCAGGACCTTGTCGAAAGCCTTGCTGGTCCACGTGGACTGCATCAAAAGCATTGCCCTCATCCGGTCATCTGTGAAAATTCAATCAAGTTGGTCAGACATGGCCTCCCTTAACAAAACCATGCTGACTGTTCTTGATTAATCCCTGTCTCTCCAAGTGCAGATTAATTCTGTCCCTCAGAATTGCTTCCAATAGCCTCCCCACCACAGGGTAGACTAGCCAGCCTGTAGTTTCCTGGTTTACCCTTTGCTCCTTTCTTGAATAACGGTACCACACTGGCCCTCCAGTCCTCTGGCATCTGTCTTGCAGCTAAAGAGGGTTTCAAAATTTTGCAAGTGCCTGTGTTATATGGCCACTCATCCTTCCCCACCCTACATCCCTCAAAAAAAGTGATACTTGCCTGGGATACTTCGGGCTGAAAGCAAAGCTCTAAACTAGGAAAGACTAGTTTTAATAAGACCAAGTGTGATTTGGCCAGAGTAAACTTGGACCAGCATGGTGGGTCTGTGGTTAGCACTGCTGCCTGACAGCGCCAAGGACCAGGGTTTGATTCCACCCTCGGGTGACTGTGAAGTTTGCACGTTCTCCCTGTGTCTGCGTGGTTTCCTCAGTCCAAAGATGTGCAAGTTAGGTGGATTGGCCATGCTAAATTGCTCATAGTGTCCAGGGAAGTGCAGGCTAGGTGGATTAGCCATGGGAAATACAGGTTTACAGGGATAGAGTAAGGGTGGGTCTGAGTGAGATGCTGTTCAGGTTTGGTTTGGGCTCAATGGAAACGGACCATTTGGTCCACACTGTAAGGATTCTATGATTTCATCTAGCCCATAAGATTCATCATGTCTTAAGCCTGCCAGACCACTCGGAACTTCATCCATCTATGCTAACGTCTTTTAAGTATTCATTGTTATCTGCTATGTCCACTGCATTTCCTTTAGCAATGCATTACATCACCTTGGGAGCCATTGAAATACTAATGGTACCTCAGAGCTCCGTTATACTCTTCAGATGTCTTTTGATGGTGGCTCAGTGGTTAGCACTGCTGCCTGTCAGCGTCAGGGACCCAGGATTGATTCCAGCCTTGGGTGACTGTCTTTGTGGAGTTTGCACGTGGTCTGCGTGCACCTGTTGCCTCCCACATACAGAAAGATGTGCAGGTTAGGTGGATTGGCCATGCTAAATTGCCGATTAGCTGTGGTAGCCATGGGAAATGCAGGGTTACAGGGAAAGGGTAGGGGGATGATGGGTATGGGTGGGATGCTGTTCGGTGGATTGGTGTGGACTTGTTGGCTTGGGTGGCCTGTTTTCTGCACTGTAGGGATTTTTCAAAATAAAACACAAGGATGCTGGTCCTGTCCTGATTCAGGTGCAACCTTGTCTGTCTTGAACAGGTGCCAGCATGCTTAAAATCGAAATCTAGAAACCCAGAAATCTAAAGCCCACCCTCCTGCACTAACTCTCATGATACGGTCATCCAAACTAACCTAAACAAATAAAATGAACAAAGTGAAACAAAAACAGAAATTGCTGGAAAAAGCCAGTGGATCTGGCAACATCTGCAAAGAGAAATCAGAGTTAACATTTTGGCTCTAGTACCCCTTCTTCAGAACTGAACAATTGAAAAGAGAATTCAATTCAGAATTGAATCCTCTTACACAATAGCCCTGCAGTTGTTCTTCCTCCTCTTTTTTGCATAGCAGATGCAACCATAGTGCCATGAGGTTGGCTTCCACTGCTTTCCCCTGCACAGTCATCTCCCCCTGCACTATTCAAGTGTAGAAAGGGGATGATCAGTAGAGGACGCCTACACTTCTGCTACTTGGTGGTGGTCACCCATACCCTGTCTGCTGTTCATTTGGCACTTGCACCTCACTGAATGCGCTACCCACAACTTTCTCAGCATTCTGGATGTTCCACAGTGAATTAACCCACAGCTCCAGTTCTGAAATGCTGTTCACCAGTAACTGCAGCTGGACGCACTTCTTCCACACATGTTCACCAGAGACAACTGAAGATCCTATAATTTGCCACATAGCACAGGAGGAACATATCATGAGTGTGACCTCTGCTCCCATGATTTCTTTTAAATATCCTGTCTGAATCAGCACAAACCCCTGTCCTTCACATTAGAAGTGTCCATGTCCATTTTGGATGTAATTCTTATCTGGCAGGTGTCCTCACAATTTTTATTTTTAAGAAAGGCACCACAGGGTTCAATTTCTACCATGCTTTGTGTCTGTAATTTCAATTTTCGTTTCAGATTTCTTGCATTTACAGTTTTTGTTTTAAAAATTTCATTCTCCACCTGTGTGCGTCTTTCTTTCTGTCAGTGAGTTAACTGGATGACAACAGCACTAAGTACTTAGAAAATGCCTTTAATTAGCAAAACATTCCAGAATTCACATGAGCAGTTAGGAAAAGAAATTCAACCCCATATCGCATAGAAAGAGATGAAGGGAGGTGATCAACAAAGAGGCACTGATGATGTTACCCAGCAGGGTAATGAAATGTCTGCAGAACAACAAACTAGCTCGGCGAGCCAACCAACCAGAAAGAGGCATGTTGTGAAGGTGAAGGGGAAGATTGAGAATTTAGGGATTGGATTTGAGAGCTTGGTGCCCAAGTAGCTAAAATCACGTACACTAGGTATAATGATTAAACCAAGCTGTTAAGGAGTTCAAAGTTAGGAGCATACAGGTCTTTGAGGGTCGTGGGGCTGAAGGAAGTTAAAGATAGGGAGAACTGATGCTATAATGAAGGGCTTTGAAACAAATTGGACAGCATGGTGGCTCAGTGGTTAGCACTGCTGCCTCACAGCACCAGGAACCAGGGTTCGATTTCCCCCCTTCGGCAACTGTCTGTGTGGAGTTTGCACATTGCAGGGAGTTCCAGGATTCTGATCCAGCAACATGTGAAGGAATGGTGATATGTTTCCTAGTCAGGATGGTGAGTGGTTTTGGAGGGGAACCTGCAGGTGGTAGTGTTCCCTTGTTTCTGTTGTCCTTGTCCTTCTAGATGGTAGTGATCATGGGCCTTGAAGGTGCTGTCTAAGGATCTTTGAAGTTCTGCAGTGCAACTTATGGATAGTACACACCGCTGCTACTGAGCTTTGGTGGTGGAGGGAGTGGATGTGGTGCCAGTTAAATAAGCTGCTTTGTCCTGGATGATGTCAAGCTTGAGTGTTGTCAGAGATGCACTTGTCCAAGCAGGTAAGGAGTTTTTCATCAGCCTCTTGACCTGTTCCTTGTAGATGGTGGACAAGCTTTGGGAGTCAGGATGTAAGTTATTCATTGCAGTATTCCCAGCTCTGACACACTCATGCGGTCACTATATTTGTATGGCATGTTCGGTTGTGTTTCTGGTCAATGGTACACCCCAGGATGTTGATAATGGGGGATTCAGTGATGGTAACGTCATTGAAAATCAAGGGATGGTGGTTAGATTGCTCTTATTGGGGATGGTTTTTTTGCTTGACATTTGTGTGGTCCAACTGTTACTTGCTACTTTTCAGCCCAAGCCTGGAAATTGTTCAGGTCTTGCTGTATTTGAATACGGACTGCTTCAGTATCTGAGGAATTGTGAGTAGCACTAAACATTATGCAATCGTTAGTGAACGTCGCCACTTCTGACCTAATGTTGGAGGGAGTGTCAGACTTGTTTGATGTTACTAACTTTTCCTGGCTTCTTTCTGATCTACTCTGGTTTCTGTTCTGAATGTTTTCTCTGCATTTCATGTCTCAGATTGGATACGCTGTCCGTTTTGAAGATCTCACCTCTGACAAGAGTAAAATTAAGTTTTTAACCGATGGGATGCTGCTTCGAGAGGCAATCGGAGACCCACTCCTTCACAGGTATAGTGTGGTGATTTTGGATGAAGCCCATGAAAGGACTGTCCACACAGATGTTCTCTTTGGCATTGTGAAAGCCGCACAGAAAAAGCGAAAGGAACTCGGCAAAATGCCACTGAAGGTAAGAGTTTGGTTTGACCTCTACCACATGCAAATCTCTCAAACTATACAACATTTCTTCATTGCTGCCTGTACCCTACCTGGATTCTGTTATACAGAATGGTACAGAACAGTAGGAGACCATTTGGTCTAAAAAGCCTGCAATAACTCTTCAGTAGAGCATTCTACTTAATTCCACCAGGTCCTCTTCTTCCATATTTTATTCTAGAATTTATTCAGTTCCCTATTGAATCACATTTGTATCTTTGTATCCATCAACCTATCAGGCAGTGTATTGTAAATTCTGATCTTTAATTCTGTAAAGATGTTCTTCATGTTCTCTCTGGTACCTTTTATCAATCACCTTGGACCTGGTGCCCTTCCCTTCAGCGAATTGAAATCATTTCTCTATTTATTTTACCTATACCTTTTTCATGCTTTAAAACATCTCTTCTTGTCCTTCTCTGCTCTAAGAAGACACATCCTACATTTTCTAATTTCTCTGCATAACTATAATTACTTCATGAGTCATTCAAGTAAATGTATTTGATTCTCCCCCAAACGTCCAGCTCCTTCCCAAAATTTAGTGCCAAGACTTGGACAAAATAGGATTTGAGTCTTTTATACAGCATTGTGTTAATCTCTTGGCTGTTAATACAGTGCTTTGATTCATTAAACCCCAGGGACCATATGCTTTATTAACTCCTTTTGTTAACCTGCCCTGCCCCTTTCCAAAATGTACATACAGACACTTGACCACTGTGCGTTGATTTTATTTATATGTTCACCATATGGCCAATCTGTGTCCTCTTGAAGTCTGTTGCCATCCTCCTTTTGGTTTCCTGCAGTTGCAAGTTTTCTTTCAGTTGCAAATTTTGAAACTGTTCCGTCAAGTCCAATTTATTATCGTTTCTCAAAGTCCGTGTTGTTTCTGGTTCTGAACTATGGAGGAGAGCAATGTGTGTGTCCCATACACCTGTAAAACAGCCAATTTCCACATCTGTTTTCTATCCAGTAGCTTAGACTGTATCCACTTCAAAGGATGATTAGCTGACTGTGTGGAGTTCGCATGTTCTCCCCGTGTCTACGTGGGTTTCCTCTGGGTGCTCTGGTTTCTTCCCACAGTCCAAAGATGCACAAGTTAGGTGGATTGGCCATGCTAAATTGTCCATAGTGTTCGAGGATGTCTGCACACGGTGTGTTAACTATGGAAAATACAGGGATAGGGTTAGGGGATGGGTCTGGGTGGATGGTCTTCAGACAGTCTGTGTGGACATGTTGGGCCAAGTGGCCTGTTTCCACACTGTGGAGACTCTATGATGATTTCTACCACCTCAAGTGAGATGCCACCACCAGACACACATTCCCCTCCCCTCCCTTGTCAGCTTTCCTCAGGGACATCCTGCTCCATTCTTCCTTCGCTCCCAATGCCTCTCCACAGCTTCATGGCACCTTCCCTTTTAACCGGTCCATGTACTTCCTCCCTCCTTTGTATCCAAGGGCCCAAACATTTCCAGGGAGAACAACCTCAACCTCTCCATTCCCTGTGACGTGTAACCAATTTTGAACCTTTTCTGTCTACTCTAGAAAGCCTTTGCACCATTTCTAAGGTGCAGTTGCCAAAATTACAGGCAACACTCCAACTGAGGAACCTGTGCTTTATAAAGATTTATCATTACTTCATTGCTTTTTTATTTGTGCTTCTATTTATAAAGTCCAGGATACCATCTTTATTTACTGCTAATTCAACCTGTCCTGCCACCTTCAACAATTTGCACACACCTGTCCAGGTATTTCTGCTCCTGCACCTGCGTCTGGGTTGTGCCCTCGAGCTTATGATGCCTATCTTTGAAATTCTTATCAAAAATCTAACCTGCCTCACCTCTCTGCATTAATTTCATCTACCACATCCACTCATTTTGCCAGTCGTCTATGTCCGTTTTAATTTTATCTCTATCCTCGTTCTATTCCAAGTCTTGTAACACTTAAATTGACATTATGCCCTCTACACAACATTCCCTCTAAGTTAGGTGGCTGTATGCATGTATAACAATTTACAGTCTATGAATGATGATTGGCACTTCCTACAATCTAGTCTACTGCATTTGCTGCTCACAATGTGGTCCCCTCTACATTGGGGAAACAAAGCATAACTTGGGTGACTTATTAGCAGAACACCTACATTCTGTCTGCAGAAGAGACCCTGAGTTTTCAGTTGCCTGCTACTTTAACACACCACCCTGTTCCCTGGCCAGCATCTCTGTCTTAGGCTTGCTGCAGTGCTCCAGCAAAGCTCATTGCAAGCTGGAAGAACAGCACCTCGTTTTCCACTTGGGGACCCTGCGGCCTTTTGGACTCCATATTGAGGTCAGTAATTTTAGGACTTGAACTCTCCCATGCCCTTAACCCAAGCCACACACATCAGGCCTTCTTATCAATAGTCTGCTACTATGCACAATCCATTGTTAGCCACTGAGTCCCCCATTGATAGCTAATCACCCTCCTAGCCATTTCGTTATCCACTCCAACTGTTCTTCTGTCCCTTTTGGGCTCTATCCCCACCTATCGTTTACTCTTACTCCCTCCCCTCCACCCTATCTTCTGCATATAAACCGACATTTTGCTAGCTACCATCAGTTCTAAGGAAGGGTTACTCGACCCAAAACATTAACCCTCTGATTTCTCTTCACAGATGCTGCCAGACCTGCTGAGCTTTCCAGCAATTTCTGTTTTTGTTCCTGTATCCACTTTGGTGCTGCCCCTTTTATTTCCCACTGTGGGCTTTAAAACTATTAAGCTTGTTGTAATGATACTTTATCCAATACCTTCTGAAAGTTCAGATATACACATCAACTGTACCGCCTTAACCACTGCTGTTTCATCAGAAAACTCAAATTGTTTCATCAAGCATAGTTTCTCCTGCTCCCACTTCCACAGCAAGTATTGCTGTGCCACTAAGATGGAGACCATCAGTTCTGGTGTCTCTTGTAGTCTCACTTTCACTTGCTGAACAAGCCAAAACTTTTCTCAGTTGTAGTTCTGAACTCATTTCTTTCCCCAGTTTCACATTCAAACTAGCTATTCATCCCTATTTAAACAAATTGTAATTTTGCCTCTTGGTTTTCAGGAACTTCTGCTTATCTCCAACCTCCCTTGCCCTCAGACTTGTCTCCTTCCCAATCCATAACCAGTTTTCTTTCAAAACCACAGTGAAACTTCTCTCATTGGGTTTATGATCCTCTGCAGCACCAGAATCTCTGTACTATCCTTCCTCATTCTTAGCATCTCTGCATCATTCCTCCTCGGCTTGACATCTCTCTCTTCACTTTATCACTATCACCCCCCTACTCTCCCACTCCTTTGCCTCCCTTCCATTGTTTAGTTCAGTGGTTCTACGACCCAGTGGGGTTGTGTGCCATAAACTGAAGCCCCCCACCCATTATCAGAGTTTTACCAAATGTTGAAGTTCTTTTTAAAGCATGCATAATATCTCAATTCCCCGACTTTCAAACCAAGTTGGATAAAAAGCACAGATGATATTTATGTATGAGCAAGGATTATTTATTACAGGTAATTAAACTACAGTGACAGGAAAACAGATACAAACCATTGGCGTATAACGCTACAAATAGAAACTGTGATCTTTTTATAAATACTCCCTTAACATACAAACCAACTAAAAAGATAGGTGAAATAGATTATTGACAGAGGTATAAAAACTGCAAAGTCGGTTAAATGGTCTTTGCTTCCTGGTTCCAATGTTGAGAAGATCCTTTTTCATCTAGACAGGCTTCTTGTTTGGATGTCTCTCTGAATGCTTACACTGGTTTGTAAGAAGGACGTTGTGGCTGATTGACACACAAAATATTTCTGATTGTCAGTTCAGAAGTCACAGTTCTGCAGGAAATGTGACTGATTTTCTGCAGGTTTAAACTGAGTTTTTGAGTGCAGAGAACAGGGAGCTTCTAGGCCATGAGAAGCACTTCTTTTCATATCTATGTTTCTTTGCCCCTCTCCGTCTCTGCCCCCCTACCCCTTCTCTCCGTCTCTTCCCCTGTCCCTCAATTGCTCACGTGCTCTCTGTAACTTGTTCACCGCTCCAGGCTGCCCCGCCACTGAGAACCAATCATACTATGTTGGCAAGCACAAAGTTTTTGTCCTTGATAAGTGTCACTAGTCCACAGTCTAAAGATGTTTTATTCAGTATGTACCCTCGGCTCTATTGCTTACAGTTTGTTCAAGCAGATGTTTACAATGCCTGCTATGGGTATCTGGCTATTTACTTTCAAAAATGCAGCTGCTTTTCCCAACATTTTTTTAAAATACAGTTCTTTCTCATTTCAGTTCATAGTTTTCTTTTAAATAGCATAGTGGGACTATCATTCTTGCCAACAGAGTTGTATGCTGAACATCTCAAGCAGTTGCTCAGCATCCTGTTCTGATGATGTTACCTCAATATTTGGATCCCCTTCCCTTAATCATCATCCTGCCTGCTGGTAGCAACGCATACATTACCAAATTAACTACCATATGACATGCCCATGGCATCCAACTCTCAGTCCTCTGTGCTACAAGATTGCTTTTTTTTCAGATATTTTTGGTGTTGGATAAGTGTTTGTTTCCACAGTGAAACATTGTACAAAATTACGTGCAATCTACTGCACAAAAACCCGATCTATTTGGTCAGTGGCAAATAATGGTTGTCATTGATCAGTTAGTGCTTGCTTTCTACTTGGGATCCTTTGTTTTCAACACATCCCGAAGTGGAAGAAGCTTCTCCACATAAATCTCTCAAACCTCTTCATAATTGTTATGTTCAATGCAGTGAATAACCATGTAGCATGAAGGAAGTGCTGCAAACCCTGGCTGAAGTTTGTTCCATGACTTCAAAGAGGCACTTTCTTTCGCTTAGATTTGAGTTGCCGTGCTGATTTATCTTTGCATTAGCTTTTCATTTCAGTTTCTCTTTTGCCAGCATAAAGGTTTCTTAGCAGCCAAACCAGTTTGATTGATTCTTTCCTTTCTTTTTGAAAGGTAATTATCATGTCTGCCACAATGGATGTCGATCTCTTCTCTCAATACTTTAACAGAGCACCTGTTTTGTATCTGGAAGGGAGACAACATTCCATTCAGATCTTCTACACAAAGGAACCTCAGAGTGACTATCTCCACGCTTCTTTAGTATCAATTTTTCAGATCCACCAGGCAAGTATGTTAGTGCCTAAATGATTGGTTGTCAATTTTTGTCTGAATTTTGAGTTTTCATTTGTGTACAGTATTATTCATTATTATCTGCACTGTTCACTGCATTTCCTTTAGCAATGCATTACATCACCTTTGGGAGCCAATGAAATACTAATGTTACCTCAGAGCTCAGTTATGCTTTTCAGATGCCTTTTGACTTTTGGGGTGGCATGGTGGCTCAGTGGTTAGCACTGCTGCCTCACAATACCAGGGACCTGGGTTCAGTTCCAGCCTCAGGCGACTGTCTGTGTGAAGTTTGCACATTCTCCCCATGTCTGCGTGGGTTTCCTCCGGGTGCTCGGGTTTCCTCCCGCAGTCCAAAGATGTGCAGGTTAGGTGGATTGGCCGTGCAAAATTGCCCATAGTGTGCGGATTAGGTGGATTGGCCACGAGAAATGCAGGTTTGCAGGGATGCTGTTCAGAGGGTCAGAGTGGACTTGTTCAGCCGGGTGGCCTGTTTCCACACTGTAGGGATTCTATGACGCTGACAAATCCAAGCCAGCTGTTCTTAATTTAGCCCCATTGTTCTGGGTGACCTGTGAATCTCTGTGGCCAGAAGCTTACTCATGATCAGTGTTTTGACCAACTCGTCTTGTAGTTTATTGCTCTTTTTCCTCTTTTTTTTTTCCATTTGTGGCATTGTGTTCTCAACCCTGGCCAATCCTCTGACATAACTACCAAATCAACATTAACATTTGGAAGATTGTAGTTCAAGTCTTTGCTCTTTTCTGAAACACACTCCATTATATAAGGGTGTAAACATCGGATCCCAGAGCATTTTCCACTCTGGGTTCCACCAGTTATTTTAGTTTTCCTTCCTTATCTATGTTACTTCTTGTTAAACTGCTCTACCATGTCCTGTTGGGCTTCATTTTTAACACTGCAGTCTGTGTAATATATCAACTCTGTGACTCAAAAGTCTACTGCTGGATTATAGAAAAAGTCACAAGTCACAAGTCACATGACACCAGGTCCAACCCATTGGACTATAACCTGGTATTGTGTGACTTGTGACTTTGTCCAACCCAGTCCAAAACTGACGCCTCTATCAGGATTATGGAAAATAATTGAATAAGTAGTTAACTAAAACACATTAACAACAGTAGAATAGATGATGCGTCACAGCTGCAACCTGTGGGAGCTCCTAGAGGCCAGTGTGATCCAGGACAAATAAATCTAAACAGGGCACTTGGAGCTCAAGCAGCTTCACCTTAGAATTTGAGCTTGAGGCTGAATTACAATAATTGCAGAATCCCTACAGTGTGGAAGCAGGCCATTCGACCATTGAGTCTCACCGACCATTTGAAGAGCATCCCACCCTATCCCTTTACCCCTGCACTTCCCATGGCTAATCCAGCTAAACTACACATCCCTGGACACTGAGCAGTTTAGCATGGGCAAACCACCTAACTTGCACATCTTTGGACTGTGGGAGGAAACCGGAGCACCCAGAGGAAACCAACACGGACTCCATTCGGGCAGTCACTCGAGTAGAATTGAACCTGGTGCCTCCCAGCACCAGGGACATAAGGGAAGAAGCTGGAAAGTTTGTGCCAAAAGGTGGTCACGTCCATAAAATAGGATATTCTGATGTAGTCAGTGTTAAGGATAATGTGAGTATGGCAGGAAAGAGGACTCGGGGTAATTGAAACACTTTCAGGTTGGCGGGCTGTGACAAGTGGAGTGGCAGAAGGATCTGAGCTGGGACCTTGGCTACTTGTATTAATCTATATGAATGACTTGGATGAAAGGACAGGGTCATGTATATAATTTTACTGATGCAAGGCCAGGTAGGAATATAGGCTGTGAGCAGGATACAAAGAGGCTGTAAATTGATCTGCATCCATTATGAGAGTGGACAACAAGGTGACACAGTATCACACTATAAATGTGGTAAAGTGGTGAGGTTATTCAGTGTGGTTGTAGGAATAGAAAAGCAGAAAATGAACTGCCTGTAATGCAAGTAAGACAATATTTTTCACTGTAACTTGGTATACATGATGATATATCAAATCATATCAAAAAAATTTGTAAATATTGGTGTTCTGGGAGACTTGTATATACAAGGAACACAAAGTAACATATAGCAAACAATTGAGGAAGCAAATAGCATGGAGTTTTTTAATTGCCATGGGATTGAAGAATAAGGAAGTCTTGCTACAATGGGGTTTAGGTGGGCCCGCACCTGGAATATAATGTGCTGCTCTGGTCTCCATTTTTGTGGAAGGATATACTGCATAAGTGGTGATAAGTGAAAGTTCATGAAATTGGATTCTGGGATGAGAAACTGAGTAAATTGGGCCAACATTCTGGCGTTTAGAAGAGTGAGCGGCAATCCCAGTGAAACATGTAAGATTTTGAAAGGGGTTTGACAAGGTAGGCACAGAACTTGTTTCCACTGGTTGGAAAATTTATGCTTTGGGGACATAGTATCAGGATAAGAGACCAATCATTTAGGATTGAGAAGAGGAAAAATCATTTCACTACAAAGTGTTTCAAATCCTTTGGAATTCTCTGCTGCAGTGTGCTATGGATGTTCCACATTGAATATGCTTATAGGCGGAAAAAACAGATGATTGATCCATCAGGGAACTGAGGGAAATGGAGAGTAGCATGAAAGTGGAGTTGAAGCCCATGAGCTGCTGTGAACATGTGAGCAGATTCAACGGGCCATCTGCTGTACTCCTGCTACTTCTCCTGTTCTTGTGCCCATTCTTTGACTGTTGCTTGCTTTGTTCTTTTTATTGAATTGTTGTATATGTCTGAATGAATGTGAGACTTTCTCATTGAAAACAAATGGAACAGAAGGCAGTTTGAGGAGTGAAGAAGATTTCTGAAAGCATGTTCCTTAAGGTATAACTGTTATCTCTCTAACAGGAGGCACCACCTTCACACAACATTCTGGTTTTTCTGACTGGTCAAGAGGAAATTGAGGCCATGAGTCGAACATGCAGGGAAATTGCCAAACACCTTCCACAAGGCTGTGCGCAGATGTCAGTATTCCCTCTGTATGCATCACTCCCTCACCTGCAGCAGCTTCGAGTCTTTCAACTGGGACAGAAGGTACTTCTTAAAATTCCTGTTGAGCAAATCTTAAAGCAAGCATGAAAATAAACTCTTCGTTCTTTGTAGAATGAACAATTGTTGGAACAAACACGAAACTGCAGGGCTTTCTAATTAGCTCGTAGACACTCTCTTTAGTTCTAAGTCCCTTGCCAGTTAGTTTTATTTCTCCCCATTTGTTTGCAAAACTCTGAACTTAGCCCTTTCGAATGAAAGCTTAAAATTACCGACTTATCGGTGGATCTAAATCTATAGAAATATTTTCTTAATTTTTTTGTGGAATGTGTGTGTTGCTGGTGAGGATGGATTTATTTTGTATGCCTGATCTGGATCTAGGTGAATTGCCATTAGAACAAAGTTCAGAGTCATCTACACTGCTGTTCTGAAATCACACATAGGCCAGACAGGATGAGGGTGGCAGCCTTCCTTCCAGAAAGGACATTAGTAAACAAGGTGGGTTTTTGCCATAAGTGCTGATTGTTTCATGATCATTGATACTGACTTTCAATTCCACTGGCTGCCAAAGTGGAATTTCAACCCAGGAATAATAGTTTGAGCCTCTGGATTACTAGCTTGGTGACATTACCATTATGCCAAAGTCTCGCTGCAATCATTGTAGTGTGCTTGAGAAGCTTCTATTTTCCCTGTTGATGCCGTAGCACAGTTCCTTCATGTAGAATACCATGGTCAGATGTCAGATCTGTGCTTGAAGCCCTTGTCTGAGGATTTAATATAATCTAACTAATGGGTTTTATAAATTCCCAGTTTGTAATCAAGTATAATACCTTTTCTCTGTGGAAACAATAACATAGTGACATTGTTACTGGACTAGTAATCTAGAAGCCTGGGCAAATGCTGCAGAAACCGGAGGTTAAATTCTCACAGCAGCTAGGTGCATTTAAGCCCAGTTAATTTTTGAATCAAAGGAACATTAGGAATAGGAATGGGAATAGGCATAGCCCTCAACTTCCCTGATATTTAAAAAAATATGTCTACCTCCTTTTTAAATGCTCAGTGATCTAGCCTCCACAACTGTCCGTGATAGAAAATTCCAGACATTGACTACCCTCTGGAAGCAGAAGCTCCTTTGCATTTTTAGTTTAAACGAGTGTCCCGTTATTCTTTTAACTATGAGGATTCTCACCCTATGATACAATAAGTGGGAGCATTTTCTCAACACTTACCCTGTAAAGCTCCTTCAGAATCTTTGTTTCAGTAAGATCACCCCTCATTCTTCTAAACTCGCATGAGTAAAGGCCAAACCTGTTTAGTTGTTCTTCATCAGTCAACCGTTTCAATCCAGGATTCAGCCTTGTGAATGTCTTTTGAACAGCCTCCAATGCCAATAGATCCTCCCTTAAACATGGGCACCAAACTGTATACAGTACTCCAGGTGCAACCTCAAATATCTTGTGCAGATGTAACAATACTTCCCTATTTGTAAACTCCAACCCTAGCGCAGTAAAGGCCAACATTCCATTTGCCTGCTGAATTACTTGCTGCACCTGTGCTTGATGTACAAGAACACCCAGATCTCTCTGTGCTGTGCATTTTATGGAGTCTCTCTCCATTTAATTAATTAAAGTCTGAATTTTGATTCTTGCTATCAAGAATTTCCCACTTCCCACTTTCTTACATTAAAGTTCATCTGCCAAGTTTTTGTCCACTGGTGCAAGTTATCTCTTCCCTTGCAGATTCCTTACATCCTCCTCACAACATACCCTGCCACCCATTTTTGTGACATCAACTAATTTTAAATACATTACAATCTGCCCCTTCTTCGAAGTTATTTAATATAGAATTTAAGTAAATAAGCTCGTTGGTCTGATCCTTGTGATGCTCCATTATTACGTCTTTCCAACTTGAGAAAGATCCATTAATCCTGACTCTCTTGTGTCCGTTAACCAATCCTGAATCTATGCTATTACCCCCAACGCCATGAGCTACCATCTTGTGCAATAACCTATAATGTGCCACTTTCTCAAATGCCTTCTGAAAATCCTAAAAAACTAATCTACCAGTATCCTTTTATCAACCCTGCTTGTTATATCCTCAAAGAATTCAGTAATTTTGTCAAACATTATTCCCTTTCAAAAAACCTATGTGGACTCTGATTGCATTAAGCTTTTTAAATGTCCTGTTTCTTCCTTAATAATGGACTCCAGATTGCCACCTTGGTGTGGTGGAAAGGCTTCAGTGCTCCATTTAATGAGAGCGATGCCAGTGGGAGTTCTCAACTCTTGGCAGGGTCACCCACAAACAATATCGGAGTGGACGAACCAGACACAGCTCAATCCAAAACAAGTCCTCAATGGTAATCCAGGTCAAAAATACCCATCTAATATCCATGGCTGCAGCAGATGCAAGTTGCAGCAGTAAGGATTAATTAATTGGTCTTTGAGGTTTCCTTGTCGCTGGAACTGGATCTACCTTTTGTTAAGGACTGTGTGTCTGCTGATGCGCAACAGCATGTTCAAGTTAAGATATCCTGCACAAAGGAATGCAAACCACCTACATGCACAACATTCCCTGTAGCAAGAGTTGATGGGCAGGATTGAGAGATCTGGAGACAATGGTCGTGACTGCCTATGCTAAAACCCTTGATGCCAAGAATGAGTCGAAAGAAGGGTTCTACTCAACCCTGGACACCATCTCCACCAAAATCTCTTCGGAAGATAAAATTATCCTCTTTGGAGACTGCATTGTGAGGATTGGAAAGGTTGCCCAACTCTGGAGAGGGACCATTGGAAATGGAGGAGTTGGGATTTGCAAAGCCAATGGGATTATCCTGCTCACCAAATGTGTGGAACACCAGCTAGTCATCACCAACACTGGCCTACTAAAAAGACAATTTCAAAATTTCTTGGAGGTATCCATGGTCAAAGCACTGGCACATGATCAAATACATTATTGTTTGGACCCGAAGTCAAAGGGATGGCCTCATTACTGAAGCAACGACCAGACAACTGGTGAACAGACCACTGGCACATCTGCTCCTCAATGTGCTTGAAATGCCACCAGAAACAGTTCAGAAAAAAGCTTAACTAGTGATAGAGTCCTAGAGATGTACAGCACAGAAACAGACCCTTCAGTCCACCTCATCCGTGCAGACAAGAGATCCTAAATGAATCTAGTCCCATTTGCCAGTGTTTGGCCCATATCCCTGTAAAACCCTTCCTATTCATATATCCATCCAGATGCCTTTTAAATGTTGTCATTGTACCTGCCTCCTCCATTTCCGCTGGCGGTTCATTTCATACAAGCACCACCTTGTGAGAAAAAGTTGCCCCTGGGGTTCCTTTTTTAAATCTTTCCCGTCTCACCTTAAACCTATGCCCTCTACCCTGGTGAAAGACTGTGACTATTCATATTCTATCCATGCCCCTCATGATTTTATAAACCTGTACAAGGTCCCCCTCAGCTTCTGAAGCTCCAGGGAGAATTGTCCCAGCCTATTCAACCTCTCCCTATAGCTCAAACCTTCCAACCCTGGCAACGTCTTTGTAAATCTTTTCTGAACCCTTTCAAGTTTAACAACATCTCTTCTACTGCAGGCAGAAAAGTCTTCACTAAAATCTCCAAAGAGTTAATTTTAACGAAGTGGAGGAAATCTGGAAAGAGCTGAAGACAGTCGTCATCTCGTCCATCTTCATCTCAAGGGGGAGGCAATAGTCTACTGGTATTATCACTGGACTGTTGACCCATACAATGCAGATAGTGGAATTTGAATTCAATAAATATCTGGAATTAAGTATCTAACGATGACTATAAATCGATTGTCAGAAAAACCCATCTGGCTCACTAATGTCCTTTAGGGAAGGAAGCTGCCATCCTTACCTGTTCTGGCCTATGTGTGACTCCAGACCCACAGCAATGTGGTTGACTCTGAAGTGCTCTCTGGGCAATTAGGGATGGGCAATAAATGCTGTCTAGCCAGTGATGCCCCTCATCCCCTGAATGAATAAAGAAATTCAGTGAAGAAATCATCAGCCACAAGACTGGTTTGAGAATGACCACATCATCCAAGATCTTAAGGACTGAAGAAGAGGCTGAGTTACAAAGAAGAACAAGGGAAATAAAGAGCCAATGGTGGACTGAGAAAGTCAAGGAGCTGCAGCTTCTTGCTGACAAACATGACAACCTGGGATTTCTTCATTGTCACCAAGGCAATATGCAGACCCACCACCCTTGGCCTCAAACTGATGTGGAGTAAGGATGGTACCCTTTTCTGAGAGACAGAAAAAAAAATCAGCCTCTGATGGAGAGAATACTTCAAAGAATTCCTAAATTGTGATACAATCATCGACAAGGACATAGTCATATGGCATGGAAACAGACCCTTTGGTCCAACCAGTCCATGCTGACCATGATCCCAGACTAAATTAGTCCCACCTGCCTGTTCATGGCCCATATCCCTCTAAACCTTTCTTCTTGTACGTGGGGTCTTGCAAGATGTCGGTAGAGTAAGATGCTCCATTCGGAGCACCTCTGCTCGCCAGCTCCCCCCCCCCCCCACCCCCTCCAAACTGACAGATGTTTAACTACCCCTACCTGGAGAATGGAGTCAAGGGAGACAGCTCTCAACCGGAGCCTGGATGGGAGCTGAGTGTGTGGGCCGCGTCCTGCAGCGGCAGCAAAGAGTCCTGGACGGAGGTCAGTGTGTGAAGGCAGTGTCGCCTTGTGTTCTGAAGCTGGCAGGGACAGACTCCTGTTGGAGAAGGACTAGAACATCTAAAACCAAGTACTTTACTTTATAGTCCCTTTTTATTATCATTCTGGACATTTTAAACTCTATTCCCATGCTTGCTTCTTTTTAAACTCTTAACAACACTTAAAATACCTGTACCTTGGTACTCTGTACCTAAAGATGGTGCTGAGGGGTGACATTACAAACTTTTCACTTCACTCATTGAGAGCATGTGACACTAAAGGCTTTTCTACCCATCCAAATGTTGTTTCAACTTTGTAACTGTAACTGTAAAATTCTTAGTCTAATGAAATGTAATAACTATAATAAATATGTTTTGAAATTCCACCCGCACCCCCCCCCCCCTCCCAAGTCCTTTTCAATAACAAATTTGGACTCCCACCAAGAGTGGCAGGAGTTGAAACCTCCATTAGACACAAGACTGGAAAAGTTGCAGGATTGGACAGGATTCCAGCAGAGATTTTCAAACTCGGAGGAATAGAGTTTATCCATTATCTCTATTGACTGTTCCTGAAAATCTGGGACAAGAAAGAAATCCTTGCAGATGTCAAGGATACTGCCTCCACCACCCTCTTCAAGAAAAGAGGCAAAGTGGACTCTGGGAACAACTGAGGAATCTTGCAGTTCTCCATCCCCAGGAAGATCACTGCCCAAGTCCTTGCTAGCTACTATTTCCAGACTTGGCTGAAATCCTCCTAAAAGCCATTGTGGCTTCTGATCCAACTGTGGAACTATGGACATGATTTTCACTGCTTAGCAATTCTAAGAATAACACCAGGCATAACTACAACTGCTGTCTGTGGCCTTCATCAATTTGATCAAGGCTTTTGACTCAGTCACTTGGGAAGTGCTTTGGAAGATCCTGTCAAAAGCCAGCTGTCCAGTGAAATTCATTAACATCCTCTTTCCTCCACAACAAGATGTTGGTGATGGTCCTCACTGGTAATGTTACAGAATCCTTTGGGGTTAAGACTGGGGTCAAGCAGGGATGTGTCAACGCACCCATGCTTTTCTCCATCTTCTTTGCCACCATTCTTCATCTTGTTAAGCACAAGCTTCCTGAATTGGACATTATCTAAAAGGTGGATGGAAAGCTTTTCTACCTCAGCCAGTTGAAATCCAAGAAGAAAACGAGAACGATCTCCCTTATGGAACTTCAGTATGTGGATAACAATGTTCTGTCTACTCTCTTGGAAGACCATCTTCAAGCCTTACTTTAAAGACTTAATGAAAGCATACGAAAGAATTGGTCTTGACCTCAACTTCAAGAAGGCTCAAATCCTTTGCCAGCCAGTCCATCCCTCCAAGATCAAACCCTCCCAAACATGAAACATTTCCCCTACCTGGGAAGCTCACTCTCAACTAAGACTGACCCCGATGTGCAACCGACTCCACTGGACCAGCCACCTGCTTAGAATGCCTGAGTTTCAATCACCAAGGTAAATTTATGTTTGCCCAGCTCAAGACAGACAGGAGGATCAAAGAAGTGTCTCAAAGTCCCTAAAGGCTTCCCTCAAGAAATACAACGTAGATGTCAATGTGTGGGAGACTCTACTTCAGAGGAAACTACTTGGAGTAAAATCCTGTGTGAAGGGATACAATTCTTTTGAGAACATCCTCAACAGGAGGAAGTACAGAAAAGGAACCGGAGAAAAGAATGCTAATGATCTAAAGGCCAAGGACCAATTCTGCCTCCTGGAAACACCTACCTAACATATGGTCAGAGATGTACGTCAAGGATCAGACTCATCAGCCACACAAGGACCCACAGAATCCATGATCAGTGACATGGAATTTCCTAGGTGGACAATTGTACTAGTCAGTGAGTGATTTGCTGACGTAGATGAATGGACTCTAGCATTTTCCCAACAATAGATGTTAGATTAACTGGCCTATTGTTTTCTGCCTCATTCCATTCTTAAATAGGGGTGTCACATTAATAGTTTGCCAGTGAGTTCTGCAATATTTCAACTGATGTCTTCACTATCTCTGCAACCAGTTCTCGTAAAAATACTTGAGTGCAGTCTTGTTAACCTGTCTGCCTTTCGCCCATTAGTTTGTCAAATATTTTTTACTGACAGAGACTGTTGTAAGATATGAACTAACAAACAAACAGGCTAGATGTTCGGCCTATCAAGCTGGCCCTGTTATTCAATATGATCAAGTATGATTGATCACTTTCATACCTTTAATTCATACTATCCCATATGCTGTGGGTGATCAGAAATCTTATCAATCTGTACCTTGTTTAAACATACTCACTGAGCTTCCAAATACCCCTGTAGTTGCTAATTCAAAACTTAAGAGTCTTTTGAAAAAGGATCTCCTCATCTCTGCCCTAAGTGACACCCTTTTTTTTTAAAAAAAAATTCTGCCCCACCGTGTTCTGGATTCTCCAACCGGGGAAAACATCTTAAGAGTCCACCCTGTATTTTCCTTTTAAGTATTCTACAAGTTTCAATGAGATCACCTCATACTTCAAAACTCTAATAAACACTGGCCCAGTTTGTCCAATTTTTCTTCATAAGACAGTCCTGTTAGCCCAGGAATAAATCATGTGAACCTTCGTTTGTTGCACTTCTCTATGATAATATCTTTTCTGAGATAAGGTGTCTAAAACTAGCCCTCCCACTAGCAACTGGCCTATCTGTTATCTTTGGGATGTTTGTAGTGTCTTCCACCATGAAGCTGGATAAAAAATGTTACTTTTAATTGTCTACTTTCTCCCTGTTCCCTGCTTTTAATTCCCCAGTCATTATCCTCCAAAGGACCCACACTTGAACTATCTTCTTTCTACCCGTAAAAATGATCATTGTTTGGTTTTTTTCATATTTCTTGCCAATTTATTTTTATACTCGATTTTCTCCCATTTTCTTAGCTTTTTAGTCATTGGCTACTGGTTCCAAAAAAGTTCCTGATCTTTTTCCGCATCACCACTATTCGCCATTTTGCAAACCTTTAATTTCGAATAAAATCTCAGTCTAATTCATAATGATTATGAAACCCAGACTCATCAAAACCAATCTGGTTCACTAACATTGTACAATGTTCAGCACCATTTGCAAAGACTCACAATATGTCAAGACTTGTTAATATCCAGGCTTGGGCTGAAAAGTGCAAATAACACTGCACTACACAATGCCAGACACTAATCATCAAGAGACGATTTAACCGCTGTGCCTTGGCCTTCAACAGCGTTACCATCACTGAATGCCCTGCTGTCAACATCCTGGTGGTTACCATCAACCAGAAACTGAACAGGACTCGCCATATAAATATAGCTGCTTCAAGAGCAAGTCAGAGGCTAGGAATACCCCAACCACTAACTCACTTCCTGACTCCCAAGAGCCTGCCCACCACCTACAAGGCATAAGTAAGGAGGTGTGATGGAATACGCCCCACTTGCCTGGGGACAAAAATAACATTTGAGCAGCTTGACACTATCCAGGAAAAGACAGCCCACTTGATTGGCACTGTGTCCATTCCCTCTACCAACGCTCGAGCAGCAGTGCCTGCTATCTACATGATGCACTGCAAAAAATTTTCCCACGCTCCTTTAGCATCTTCCAAATCTGTAACTACTCCCATTTAGAAGGATATTTGCAGCAGATACATTGGAACACCACCACCTTCAAGTTCCTCTCCAAGCCACTCATCACCCTAAGTTGGAAGTGTTTGGGCATTCTTTCACTGTTACTGGATCAAAATTCTGGAATTCCCTGCCTAATGGCATTGTGGGTATGGACTTTAGTGGTTCAAGAAGGCAACTCATCACCTTCTCGAGACCAGCAATAAACACTCACCAGCCAGTGCTGCGCATGTCCTTTGAGTGCAATTTTTTTTTTCAAAAGGTCATGAAATCTGATGCCTTTGCAGGTCTGGTCTGCAGGCAATGTGATTGAATTTTAACTGCCAGCTGATAAGCAATTAAGCTGTCCCAAACCATGACAGAAAAATACTGGAGTTGTAATTATGCCTCTAGACTAGACTGAACAATTTGTAATGGGAATAAACATTGTCCTAGTCAACGATGCATAAACAGAAGCCAAAGCTGTGTTGAAGAGTGAGCTGTCAGAAAGTTGCAAAGATACTTTAGTGTGATTTGAACAAGCAGTGTGAGTCGGCCAATGCATGGCAGATGAAGTATAATCTGAATAAGTGTGAGCGTATCTGTTTTGGTAGCAGGAACAGGAAGGCAGATAATTATGAGTGGCAATGAATTGAGACGGGAATGTGCAACAAGACTTGGGTGTTCTCATTCACCTGTCATTGTGGGTAAATATACAGGTGCAACCGACAGTAAAGAAGGTAGATGGTGTGTTGAACTTCATAGCAAGAGAATTCAAGTACAGGACAGGGATTGCTGCAATTGTACAAGGCCTTGGTGAGACCACACCTGGAATATTGTGTAGTTTTGGTCTCCCTTCTGAGGAAGGATGTTCTTGCTATGATGGGAGTGCATTGAAGGTTTATCAGACTAATTCCTGGTATTGCAACACTGACATAAGAGGTGAGGTTGAATCCGTTCGATTATATTCTGTGGAATTTAGAAGAATGAGCGGGATCTCGTAGAAATCTATAAAATTTTAACATGTCTAGACAGAGAATTGCAGATTAATGTTCCCAATAGAGGGGGGGGAGTCGTGAACTGGGGTCACAGTCTAAGGATATGGAGTAAACCATTTAGGACAGATGAGAAATTTCACCCCCACCCCAGAGTTGTGAGTCTATGGAATTCGCTACCACAAAATGTAGTCACGGCCAAAACATGGTGTGATTTCAAGAAGGAGTTGAATATAGCATTTGGGGCGAAAGCGATCAAAGGATATGGGGAAAAGCAACAACAGGCTGTTGTGTTGGCCGGTCAACTGTGATCATGATGAATGGCAGAGCAGGTTCGAAGGGCTGGATGGCTTCCTCCTGCTTCTATTTTCTATGCTTCTAATATTAAAAAAGATCCTGTCTCTATAATTATATAACTCCACACAACACTCTCTCTAAGCCCATTTGTCCTTTTGGGAATGATGTAAGACACCGGTTTATGAGCAATTATTGGAGGTGGTGTATTGGCTGAAAATGAAGGATTCCATAGTGGCTTGTAGTAATGATTTTTGATTTATTTATAGGGCTGCCGTAAAGTGATTCTTTCCACAAACATTGCAGAAACATCAATCACCATTCCAGGCATCAAGTACGTTGTGGATACAGGCATGGTTAAAGCCAAGCGCTACACCCCTGGTAGGTGGTATTCATCTCTGACTTTCCTCATTCCTGTCTCTCCACTCTTCTGAACACACATCACCTCCCACCACCCCCCACCTCCACCAACCAGCACCATCCCTTTCCCTTTCCCTTTCACCCCGTATTTCCCTAATGCTCAAAATACACACAGGCATTGAGCAAATCTGACCCCAAAATGACCAAATCACGTGGGAATGTTCTCTTGTGGGCGACCATTCAGAGAAAACTCATCTACTTGAAATGGATTGGATGGGTGTGGTGTGAAGCTGCTCCAACAGTGGTGGGCAAGTTGTCGGAGGGAATCCTGAGGGACAGGATTTATGTGAATTTAGAAAGGGAAGGACCGATTAGGGATAGTCAACATGGGTTTGTGCATGGGAAATCATGTCTCACTAACTTGATTGAGCTCTTTGAAGAAGTAACAAAGAGGATTGATGAGGATAGAGTGGTGGACGTGATCTTTATGGAATTCAGTGAGGCATTTCACAAGGTTCCTCATGGTAGACTGTTTAGCAAGGTTAGATCACATGGAATGCAGGGGGAACCAGCCATTCGGATACAGAACCAGCTCAAAGGTAGAAGACAAAGGGTGGTCGTGGAGGGTTGCTTTTCAGACTAGAGGCCTGTGACCAGCGGTGTGCCACAAGGATAGGTGTTGGGTCCACTGCATAGGAAGTATGGTAAGTAAGTTTTTAGATGACACCAAAATTGGAGCTGTAGGGGGAAGTGAAGAAAGTTACATGAGAGTACAACTGGACCCGGTCAGATGGACTGGGCTGAGGAGTGGCAGATGGAGTTTAATTTCGATAAATATGAAGTATTGCATTTTAGAAAGGCAAATCAGGGCAGGATTTGTATACTTAATGGGAAGGGCCTGGGGAGTGTTGCTGAACAAAGAAACCTTGGCATGCAGATTCATGATTCCTTGAAAGTGGAGTTGCAGGTAGATAGGATAGTGAAGAAAGCATTTGGTATACTTGCCTTTATTGGTCAGTGCCTTAAGTAAAGGAGTTGGGAGGTTATGTTGCAGCTGTATAGGATGTTGGTTAGGCCACTTTTGGAATACTACGTTCGATTCTGGCCTCCCTGCTATAGAAAGGATATTGTGAAACTTGAAAGGGTTCAGAAAAGATTTATAAGGATGTTGCTAGGGTTGGAGGGTTTGAGCTATTGGGAGAGGCCAAAAAGGCTGGGGCTATTTTCTCTGGAGCGTTTGAGGCTGAGAAGTGACATTATAGAAGTTTATAAAATCATGAGAGGCACGGATCGGTTAAATACACAAGATCTTTTCCCCGGGTTGGGGGAATTCAAAACTAGAGGGCATAGATTGAAGGTGAGAAGGGAAAGATTTAAAAGGGACCTAAGGGGCAACTTTTTCACACAGGGTGATGCATGAATGGAATGAACTGTCAGAGGAAGTGGTGGAGGCTGGTACAATGAAAACATTTAAAAGGCATCTGGATGGGTATATGAATAGGAAGGGTTTAGGGGATATGGGCTACATGCTGGCAAATGGGACTAGATTCATTTAGGATATCTGGTTGGCATGGATGAGTTGGGCTGAAGGGTATATTTCTATGCTGTATAACTCTGACTCTATAACAATCACAGACTGTTTTCTCCAGTGCTTGCTGTTGATAGGTCTGACAGGAGCCAATCAATGATAGATAACAAGGTGTAGAGCTGGATGAACACAGCAGGCCAAGCAGCATCATAGGAGCAGGATAACCTGTTTCAGTTGGAATGAGTGTAGGAACAGGATTAGGCCATTAAGCTCAGTGAATCAGCTCCACCATTTAATATAATGATGGCTGATGAAATACTTGAATGCCTTTTATCCACGCTGTCCCCATAACCCTTTCTGCCATTGATAATCAAATGCTTATCAACTTCTACTTCAAATATACTGAAAGACTGATCATGCACACCCTTGAGGGATAGAGAATTTCAAAGCTTCACAATCCTCAGTTAAAAAAACTCTCCCTTTCTTCTGTACTAAGTAGCATCCCCCTTATTTTTAAATTGATCTCCCTGGTTCTAGACTGCCCAAACACATAACTGTCTTCCCTGTATTTACACCCTGTATTCCTTCAGTATTTTGTAGGTTTCACTGAGGTCACTCCTCATTATTGAAAACTCTGAGGAATACAGGCTCTATTTTTCAATCCCTCTGCATAGGACTGTTCCACCATCTGAGAAACAAGTCTTTGTTGTTCTCCCTGTATTGTAATAATATCCTGCTTGAGGTAAGGAGACCAAAACTGGACACTGCTCCAGATGCAGTCTTACCACGCTCTTATACAATTGCACCAGGACTTCACTACTACTAGACTCAAATCCTCTTTCAATAAAAGACCATTAGTCTTCCTAATAGCTTACGACACTTGCATGTTATCTACAGTGACTTATTGACGAGAACTCCTGGGATCCTTTTGCACATCGACACTTGTTCCTCCTACCAAAGTGAATAACTTCATTTCTTTTACATGATATTCCAGCTGCTGTGTTTTTGCCCAAGGCAAGTCCTGTTAAAAATGTTTTACATCTTCCTCACATCACCCATTTTTGCTTAGCTTTGTGATCTCCAAATTTTGGAAATATTACATTTTAGTCTCCATATCCAAATTATTGATATAGTTTGTGAACAGCTCAGCCCAAGTTTTCATTCTTACAGTGCCCCACTAGTTGGCTTACCAATGTGACAATGATGCACTTACTCAATCTCTGGCTAGCAGACAAAAGCTAAGAACTGTGGGTGCTGAAAATTTGAAACAAAAATAGAAACTGGAGGAACTGAGCAGGTCTGACAGCATCTGTGGAGAGAAAGCAGAGTCAACATTTAGTTCTTCAGAACTGGATTAATCTGTCAACGGTGCTGCATTACTTCTAATACCATGTACTTTAATTTTGTGAAACGGTCTCCATTTTTGAGACCTTAGTAAATGTTTCTGAAAGTCCAAACATACTACATCCATCACAAATCCTTTTATCAATTTGGTTAGTAACACCCTCAACAAAAAAATTCCCAAGTTTATCATACGAGATATTCCATTCACAAATTCATGCTGACAATGCCTCTTGCTGTCACTTTGTTCTGCCCAGATTCCACAAATTGTTCCTCCAATCCAACATCCTCCTTGATCACATGTTGTATTTATCTTGAATTTGTAATGCAATTGCACTTCTCCTTTTCTTGTTTAGCCTTCCTTGTCTCTCCTCCTCAAATGTTAAATACCCTTGAATATTCAGTTCCCCATCGCAGTCGCCATGCGGCCATATTTCTGTAATGACAATTCGATCAAACTCTGTATTATCAACCTTGTTGTGAATGTTGCATGCATTCAGGTTGTGCGCCGTTGACTTTTGTCTTTTTGATATCATTCGGCTTTTGAAACATACTTGATGCTTGGGTTGTTCCTCCTGTGTTCCTTTTCCATTGCAGCTTTTCTGCAAAGCTTTAACCAGTTAACTCCTTTCCAATTTGGGATACCCCTCATGTTCCCATCCACCTCATGAGCTGGTTTTAAGCCTAGACCAATTGCACTAACACCGCTCCCTATGAGGATATCTGCCCCAGTTCCTATAGGTGCTTATGTCCAATTCCAGCATCACCCACATGATGACAGTCATTCAAAGCTGTGATCTCTCAGATTCAAACTCCTGAAAGTTGGGTGCTTCCAGAGTGATTCCAGGTTACTGTGTTTCACGGCAACATAAATCAACATAGATAATGTTGTTCTGACTGATGTAATAACATAGTTCTGTCTGTAGACATGAACGATTAGATATGCAAGTGCTGGCAGTGAGGGTGTACCCAGAGAAGTTGGAGTGTGCTAAGGTCCAGGAGTAAGAAGACCAAAAGCCAGGGCCAAGTTGGGAGTAAGGGATGGGAGCAGTCTTTTTACCAATGCTGAACTGGAGTGGGGAGCTGCCATCTTGCCAAGGTGGCTGTCCGTCCACTGGGCCTATGATAGTTAGGATGAAGAAGGAGGCTACAAAGGATGTTGAGAGAATAAATGTTTTTTGGGAGAGGGAGGGTGGTCACGAGGAATTCATTTGGAGAGGGATGGAGGCAGGCAGACAGCAGGAGTGGAGAAGAAAATGGAAACTACAAAGAGCAGAGAACCATTTCAAGCCTTCAACAAAGAAACACTCCGCTAACATGGAGCTAGGAAAACTTGAAATCACTTGTAGTGAATGGCTTGCAAATGAATGGGGTATCTTTAACTTAAGGCTGTGAATATTCAGGAATTACTTAATGAGGAAAATTGAAGTGCATGTTATTGTAATGAAAACTATATTGATTGATCTCAATTTCCGATTGAAATTTAACAGTTTCTATTTTTTTTTACTGCATCTATCTGGTTAAAAGATTCCAGTTTTGGGATTATGCAAACACGTGGGCTGTGACCACAAAAAAATCTGTCAGATATGTGTTTAGGCTGATGGCTTTTTGTGTGTGTAACTAAGTCAGTTGTTTTGAAAACGTTTTTGCTAACTTATGTCTGTTACCTTGCATCAGTTTAAATACTGTGGTAGGAACAGGAGAAGGCAATACTGTGGTATTTAGCAAATAAATGCTTTCCTCCTTTTAAGTTGATTGTAGCTTTAAAGTTGATGGTGTTGATAATTTATTGAAGAAATTAATGAATTCTTTTAATTCTGCCTCTGCATGTGTCCAAATATCCCATATGTCTACATGAAAACAGAAGATAATATGATTGCATCATCTAATAAAAGACTTTCTCAGAATGCAGCCCCCAAAAAATCAAAGTAGCCCTCTGAGGAAGGGATGGTTTCTGTCCAAGTTCCTCCCAATCCCCCCTACCAGCCAATCAATGCTTTGCTTTGCTCTGTTTCTGCCCTTATTCTATTTGAACACAGACAGATTAAGCTGCAGAACAATACTGTGGCACAGGTCGTAGGAACAGGAGAAGGCAATTCTGCCTTTCGAGCCTATCCCGCCATTCAGTAGATTCTTGGCAGATCGAACATTT